AGACCCTATATACATGAACATACCAACCACACAATGACCGGGCATGGTGGTGGCATGGCTGTAAATAAAAAACACAGAGAAAGACTGAGAGCAGGAGATCACTCGAGCCCAGAGGTTGAGGTTGCTGTGAGCTAGGCTGACGCCACGGCACTCACTCTAGCCTGGGCAACAGAGCGAGACTCCGTCTCAAAAGAAAAAAATAAGATCAGCTGTTGGAAGGGGGCGCCTTCCGGAGTGGACCCCAGCCCAGGCTCTAAATTCCCTCCTCCCTGGCATCCCAGCACCACCCCGCCCAAGGCAGACCCAGGGGAGGAACAGAGGGGGCTTGACGAGCGGATCAATGTGAAAAGAGTGACAAGATGCAGATGGCTGGGGACCAGGGCGGTTCTGGGAGGCCTACACACTCCCCCAGCTGCGAGGTCTGGTCGGGGCCAGAGGGAGGGTTGGGAGGCTGGGACAGGCCAGAACTGGGGACCAGGGCTGTGCCGGAGGGGTCAAGGAGGGCTTCCAGAAGAGAGGCCATTTGTACTGGGCCTTCCAGTACGCGTAGGAGTTTGCCATTGGGAGAAGGGCTTTTCAAGAGGGAACAGCACCCGCAGAGGAAGAGCACAGAGCTTGCTCAGTGGGGGGCAGGGGCAAAATGAGGGAGATGAGGCCCCACAGCGGTTGGGAGCAGATCAGGGTGGGAGCACAGGCGGGGGCTGGGAGGGGAGAGGAGGGGATCCATGAGGGGCAGGTGCGGGGAGGCCAGCAGGCAGGTTCCAGTGGCTGCATGGTGTGCATCTCCTCAGGAGACAAGAGGTGAGCAGGCCCCTGGACTCAGGGGGACACCTGTGGGGAGATGCCAGTGTGTGGGGGACCCTGAGGCAGGGAACATGGGATCTGGGAGGCTTGTGCCTCTCCCTGCACCTCAGTTTACCTGCCTGTGACGTGGGCAGCTTGGGCCTCTGGTCTGCGTACATCTTTCTCTTTTTTTTTGAGACAGTCTCACTCTGTTGCCCGGGCTAGAGTGCCGTGGTATCAGCCTAGCTCACAGCAACCTCAGACTCCTGGGCTCAAGCGATCCTCCTGCCTCAGCCTCCCAAATAGCTAGGATTACAGGCATGCGCCACCATGCCCGGCTCATTTTTTTTTCTACAAATATTAGTTGGCCAATTAATTTCTTTCTATTTATAGTAGAGACGGGGTCTCGCTCTTGCTCAGGCTGGTTTTGAACTCCTGACCTCGAGCAATCCTCCCGCCTCGGCCTCCCAGAGTGCTGGGATTACAGGCGTGAGCCACCGCACCCAGACCATCTTTCCTTTTGGACATAAAACCCGGGGTTCGAGCCATATCATCAGTGGGTCTCCCCTGCCCCCTCCCAGTGCTCCGCGCCACACACGGGGAGCAGCCCGAGGACACGCCGGGCCCGGGCCAGGCTAGGGGCTTCCGCGCTGGCTCCGAGGTGCAGAATAGGGCTCGGGGAGTGTGAGGGCGGCTGGGGAGCCCGGGCCCTCCGAGGGCCGCTCTGTTTACCCGCGGCCAACCTCTGCCTCTGATGCAACAGGCAGGCTCTGGTTACGTGAGGGTGGCAGCTGGGCCAGCCGGGGAGCAGCCGGGGAGTGGCGGGAAGGGCCCAGCCGGCCGGGCCGCGCCTCCACGCGCCCTGACCCTCCATCCGCACCCCCCAGCGGATGGGGCTCCCCCTCGGGTTCCCGCCTCCCCACCCCACCGGCTCTCGCCCCCCCCCGCCCCCTCCCTATTCTGATCAGCACCTCCCACGTCACCAGTCGTGGCCCCCCCAGCAGGGCCACTGAGAGTCTCCATCCTTGGTCTTCTCAGGCGGGGAGACCCCGAGTTGCTGGAATAAGAGGTTGGACGCGGCAGCGAGGGTTGGGGGGGCGGCACGGGGAAGGGGGCCTGGGAGATGGGGGTGGGTGGAGGAGGCAGAAGTGGGAGCAGGGAGGTGGAGGCGCTGCTGTCCCCACTCCTCCGGTTCTTCTCCCAGCATGTCAGCGGGGAAGCCTTCGAAGGACCTTGCGTGGCAAGGATGGTGTGGCCCAGTGGGTAGGGAACCCTGAGTCCCCAACCCAGTGTTGCCACCCTCCCGCAGTGCCACCTCGGGCCAGCCGTGTCACCTCCTCTGAGCCTTTCTGCCCACGTGAGATGACGTGGGGACAACGGCAGCCCCTCCTCCTGGGGGGACTGGAGCATTTCAAGGCCACCTACAATGGCCTCTCCTGCAAAAGCCTTCCCCATCCTCCTCCCGTTTGGGGTCCCTCCACCGCATCCCTCCTTCCGGCCCAGCACTGACCCGGGCGGCAGGGGGGGGGTGCACGTCCAGCTTTGCCTTCCCCAGCTTGGGGGCCCCTCGGGGCCAGGCCCAGGCCATGATGGCACCAAAGGGGTGTCTCCATGGGTTTCTGAAAGAACTGGAGGGTCCCAGAGAGGGCGTGAGTGGCGGAGGGGCGGGGGGGGGCGCCAAGCTCGGGGCACCTAGGAGCCTTGTCGGGGGGACACAACAGGGCTAGGAAGGGGCTTCCCCGGGGCCTGAGTGTGCCGGACTCTCCAGGAGGGCAGAGCAGGCCTGAAACAGAAACCAGGACTTGGAAGCAAGGGCTAAGGACAAAAACCCACTGGTCCTGCCCGCTGCAGACAGACCAGGGCCAGGTCGCTGCCCCCTAGGCCCCTCCTATCACCACATCCAGAGATTTGAAGGGGCTCGTACTTCACTCAGGGTCGGGATCCCTCCCAGGTCATCTCTGGCCTCGTAGCTGCCGGGCTCCTACTTGAATGCCCCGAGGCACGGGCAGCTCACTGTCTCTTTTGTGGCTGGGAGCAAGTCCCACCGAGCAGGGTCTGGGAGTGCCGTTGCCCTAGCGGAACGCTGTCAGCCTCTTGGAGCCTCAGCCCACTCTCTGGAAAGCTGGGGTGAGGGTACATAGGGTGAAAGAGGGCGGAGAGTCACGACGTGCCAGCCAGGACCGCGGACAACGACGGCTTGCTTGGAGGCCCAGCTCCCGGCCACGGCTTTGCCTCTCGCGCCCTCTGGCGGCAGGACGGGGCGGGACGTCCTCCAGGCGGGAAGGGCGAATCGGACATGCAGATGACATGCAAATTAACCAGCACCCGGGAACCCTGGGAATCGGGGCGGTGAGGCGTCTGACAGCCCAGAGTCCTGCTCAGGCTCCTTTATTTTATTTTATTTTATTTATTTTTTGAGACAGAATCTCACTTTGTTGCCCAGGCTAGAGTGAGTGCCGTGGCATCAGCCTAGCTCACAGCAACCTCAATCTCCTAGGCTCAAGTGATCCTCCTGCCTCAGCCTCCCCAGTAGCTGAGACTACAAGCATGACCCACCATGCCTGGTTAATTTTTTGTGTATATATTTTAGTTGGTCAATTAATTTCTTTCTATTTTTAGAAGAGATGGGGTCTCGCTCAGGCTGGTTTTGGACTCCTGACCTCGAGCAATCCTGCCTTGGCCTCCCAGAGTGCTAGGATTACAGGCGTGAGCCACTGTGTCCAGCCCCAGACTCCTTTAAAAAGGAGAGGGCTATTAGCCGCTGGCTGAGGCCGCATCCAGAGCGACAGGGCACCCCACAAGCTCCCAGCTCCCTGGTTGCCCAAGGCAGCTGCTGGGATATATATGATGATCTCAGGTAGCTGCTTGCTTGTCCCACAGGCCATTAGAGAATCCCCCTGGCCCACAGAGGGGACCCTCCCTGCTCCCCCTAAGACCTCCCTCCTCCGACAAGAACCCTCCCAGAGCGGCGGGCCGGGACCCACCTTCACCACCCCCTGAACAACTCCATTCTGCTCTTTCTCATGCATTTTACTGGAACCAAGGACCCCGGGGCTGACACTGCGCTGGCTCTTGGAGGTGTACGAACCGCAGACACGTGACCACCCAGGCTTGGCATTCACAGGCATGAGGGCAGGCGCTTCTGCGCGTGGCCGCAGAAACACACTCAAAGCAAATTTTGGCAAAAATGGCCACAGAAACACACTCAAAGCAAATTTTGGCAAAAATGGCGATCTGGGGGCTCATGAAACTGAAGACTTGAGACTGGCTAGCGTCGGGTACAGCTGGGGCCGGGCCGCAGGGAGTGCTCTCAGGTGACGCCCCTTCTCCATGCTTCCAGCAGCATTCCCAGGGAAGCCCTCTTGTTGGGTCACGTGCCCGTCTCCAACCAATCACCGTGATCTGGGAGGTGGGGGGCTGTGACTGGCCAGGACACACGGCCACCCCTGGAGCTAGGGGCGGATTCCCCGTGCAGTCAGGGCCTGGGGCGGAAGCTGCTGCTTGAAGCAGAACCCGGGCTGGGCGGGCAGGTCCGAGCGTGTCCACCTCGTCCCGTGGAGAAGGCCCCGTCCAGGCAGAGAAAGACGGAACCCGAGAGGGCCAGCGCCAGGCCCCGGGTCAGGCGGCCCGTCAGAGGCAGGGCTGGGGCCGAGGGTCTCCTCTTCTCTCGCTGTGAGGCCTGGCGCCAGACGTGTGCCCTCTGGGAGCCTCCCTTCCCATCCGTGTTTGGGGCGAGACCTGCCTCGCGGGCTGCAGGTGAAACGGGAGGATCCTCACGCCGCCTCCGGCGCAGGGCTGGGCGCAGGGTCAGGACTGTGGGGGTGGCAGCCACTGGTCCCAGGGGCCACGTCCACCGCTGACGGGGGCTGGGTAAGAGTCCGGGAGCGGCAAAGCCGAGTCCGGGACATTCGCAGCTGGGCGTGGAAGCTCCAGGTGGGAGCAGGAGGCGCCGGTCGCGCTTGCTGGGCCTTCGGTCCCTGTCGGCCCACGAGGCCGTGTCCAGGCGCCCACTTTGGCCAGGCTGGGGGGCCGGAGTCGGGGTGTGGTCGTAGACGCGGACCCCGGGGGTGACCTGGTCGCCAAGGGGGACGCCCGGCTGGGGATCGGAGGGTCTGGGTGGGGATCCTGGCGCTCCCGGGCATGCGTGGTGACCCCATGCTGGCTGTCTCACCTCTCTGAGCCTCGGTTTCCTCTTCTGTAAAACAGGGTAGCGATTAGGGTCCTGGGGCTGGAGAGGCAGGTGAAGGTCAGGGGTGGCCCCGAGGGGAGCCGCTTTGCAGGAGGGCGGGGTGGGAGGCCCCGAGTGGGGCAGCAGGCGAGGCGGTGGTTCTGGGGAGAGGAGGGCGTCTGTGGGGACATGGGCAGGGTCAGGAGCATTAGACAGGCACAGCGGAGGAGAGAGCAGGTGGCGAGGAGCAGTGGGAGTGTGGAGGGGCAGTGTCTTTGAGGGACGGGTGGGAAGGACTGCGGTGTGGAGGGTGGGACGGTGGCGGGTGGGCCCAAGGCAGGCGTGGGGCACGGGCCGGCTGCCAACCCCCTGGGGCAACCCTTCCTGCTCTGGGCTCCCCAGGTGGCTCCCAGCCCCCCACTCAGCACATGGGACTCCTCCGCATCTCCACACTCAGAGCCGAGCCTGGGATGTGAGCAGGTGCTCAGCAAGTGCTCACCGACTGAATGCCTGTGGTGCCCAATAAGTGCTGGCTGATTGCAGTGTTGCCTAGTAAGCACTGACTGGACACAGGTGAGCTCTGCTGCCTCTTGGCTCTGGGGGTCGTGGGGCCCCACCTGCACCCTCCTCCCCGTGACCGTGGAGGGGCCTCCCTGGCACAGGGGACAAGCCAGGCGCCTGGCCAACGGGCAGGGGCCCCGGGAATCCCTGGGCACCTCGTACCGTCCCGCACCTGCCCTTCTGGGCACACATGCACCGTGCCTCAGAGCTTCCCGGTGCCGTGCCCTCCACGCGTGCTCGGCCACACGGCCCAGGCTTTGGGCCGCCCTCGTGCTCCTAGCCCTGGCCACGTGATGGACCTCGCCAGTGGGACACCCGCAACAGGCAGAGGCTGGGCGAGCAGTCTGCGCGGGTGCGGCCCTGCTGGAGAGGCTGCGAGGAGAACCTGACCCCCTGACCCCGCCCTGTCCCCCCACTCTGCTGCTGATAGCACCAGTCAAGGACTGGACCTGTGAGTGAGCCCCCCTCCGGGCTGCAGCCGGGCTCCAGCGAGGGCCACACGAGTGACCCCTAGATGAGAGCAGAAGAATTGCCCGGCTGAGCCCAGCCCAGACTGCAGGATCCTGAGCAGGCAAATCACTGGGGCTGTAAACCACTGAGCTTGGGGTAGTTTGTCATGCAGCAACGCTGACAGCTACAATGTGTATCCATCACTGTACCCTGTGCCCTCTGTCACCTGACGAGCCATCTGTACAGAAGGGCAACAAAGGGCCCAGAGGGGGGAAGGAACTTGCAGGGTCACACAGCAGGTAGGCAGTGGAGGGGGCGTTACGGAGCTGGGTGGGTGACTGTCATGCTGGGCTCTGTGTGAGGATGTGTTTGGGTAAAGCGGGCTGCGGCACCTGGTGGGACGGGGGGAATGTTGGGCGCCCTTCCCTCAGTCTTGGGGGTAGGGAATCCTGGGACTGGGGCAGGGCTTGTGGCCTGGGTAAGAGGCGGGAAGAAGGTGGAGAGGGAGCAAGGGAGATGGCTGACAAGGTCCCTGAGCAGCAGAGAACACAGAGCGGGCCACTCTGGGCCTGCGGACACCCCTCCTGTCCTCCCACCCCCAAAACCATCCTACAGATCCAGTGAGAAAGGCCGAGTGGTTAGACAAGCAGGTCCCTGCCTGGGCGCCAAGTGGGCAGGTTAGTTCAGAGCAGAGAGAGGCTCGCAGCTGCCCTCGGCACTGACCTGGGTTGGGGGAGGCACAGGGGCCCCCAAGTCTCTTTTGCCATCAGGCTGAGGAGGACGGGGGAGGTTCCTCGGGGCTGGAACAAAACACGGGCAGTTTCTATGAGGCCGGGGTCAGAGGCCCTGTGGCCTTCTCAGCTGGCCAGAGTGTAGGTTTGGTCACCCCCTGGTCCCCCTGTGGCCTTAGACTTTGGGAACCCTCTTTATTTTATTTATTTTTATTTTTTTATTTTTTGAGACAGAGTCTCGCTTTATTGCCCAGGCTACAGTGAATGCCATGGCGTCAGCCTAGATCACAGCAACCACCAACTCCTGGGCTCAAGCGATCCTCCTACCTCAGCCTCCTGAGTAGCTGGGACTACAGGCATGCACCACCATGCCCGGGTCATTTTTTCTATATATATTAGTTGGCCAATTAATTTCTTTCTATTTATAGTAGAGACGAGGTCTCGCTCTTGCTCAGGCTGGTTTCGAACTCCTGATCTCAAGCAATCCGCCTGCCTCGGCCCCCCAGAGAGCCGGGATGACAGGTGTGGTGAGCCACCGTGCCCGGCCTGCATGCCCATCCCTACACTCGCTGGAGGCCTTCTGGTTTTGGACGGCTCTCCTGTCTCAGTTATCAGAAACAGCAGCACGGACATGTTTCCCTCTTTCTGAATGCCTGTCGGGAGCCAGACACACCCCATGGCGACCTTGCGGCTCACGCCATGTGCGCGTACGTTCGTGTGCGTGTTTATTGCGTCGTGATGGAAACAAGCAATGAGAAGAAGAGCTACTTCTCCAAAAACCGTCTGCCCAGTGTGCACGGACCGTGAGTGCTTTTCCCTCCCAGGTCATCCGGTCCTCGGCGCAAAGCCTTGCTCTGCTCTCAAGGCTCGAGGCCCTGGGACAGGGTGGAGGGAGGCCCTGCCCGCCTCCCCGGCCCCATCTCTCCTCCTCGCCCGCGTGCCCGCTGCAGCCACACTGCCATTCCTCCAATGCCAGGACCGGGGCCTCTGCCCTTGCCACTCCGCCGCCGGGGACTCTGTCCCCTGATCTGCCTGCGTGTTGTTCAGGCCACCCCACCTCAGAGAGGCCCCGCACCCGTCTGCTTCCTCTGCGGCACCCCTGGTCTGGGGTGCGGGTTCACCTGGCTGGTTGCTGAGTCTCCCTGAGCCCACCTGTTACCACTGCGCCCCCAGCACCCGGCCCAGGGCCGGGCACACGGCAGAGTTCAGGATCTGGGTGCTGCTCGACTGAACTCGCCTGCTACCGACACCAAAGGACAAGAGGAAGTCGCCGGACGCCGCCGGCCCGTGAGACGAGGAAAGGGAGTTTCCTAACAAGCGGGAAGCCGCGGTTCCTGGCGGCGGGTGGGGAGGCAATGGGGGCCGCCCCCGGGAGCTACCTGTGGCCCTGCGCGCTGGCGTTCATGTGGTCCCGGATGCTGATGGCCTGCTTGAGCAGCCCCTCCACGCTGCGGAAGTAGACGCTGCTGTCCACCAGGTTCTTCACGGCGCTGAAATGGGAGGAGGGGCCAGGTCAGCTCCCCGGGGCCGTGGCGGCCGGTCCCGGTCCCCACGGTCTGGCACCAGAGGGGACCTCCGCCAGAATTTGGCGAGCACCCTGGCGATTCCATGGGCTTAAAGTCTCAGCAGGCATAAGCACATAAAGCTGGCCTCAAAAATATTTTGGGAATGATGGTGAAATGAGTAAAAAAAAAAAAAGAAAAAAGAAAAAAAATGATCTTGGTTAGGCACGATGGTACACGCCTATAATCTCAGTTACTCAGGCTGAGGTGGGAGGATCGCTTGAGGCCAGGAGTTCGAGACCAGCCTGGGCAACACAGTGACACCCACGTCTCCACGATAAACAGAAGTATTAGCTGCGCCTGTAGCCCCAGCTACTTGGGAAGCTGAGGCAGGAGGATCATCGCTGGAGCCCGGGAGTTTGAGGTTGTAGTGAGCTGTGATGATGCCACTGCACTCTAGCTTGGCCAACAGAGTGAGGCCCTGTCTCAAGAAAATAAATAAATAAAAATAAATTAAAAAAAAAAAAAAGAAAAGAAAAAAGAAAACAAGGCCAGGCGGGGTGGCTCACCCCTGTAATCCCAGCACTCTGGGAGGCCACGGTGGGCGGATCACTCAAGGTCAGGAGTTTGAAACCAGCCTGAGCAAGAGTGAGACCCTGTCTCTACTATAAATAGAAAGAAAGTAATTGGCCAACTAAAAAGATATAGAAAAAATTAGCCGGGCATTGAAGAGCATGCCTGTAGCCCCAGCTACTCAGGAGGCTGAGGCAGGAGGATCGCTTGAGCCCAGGAGTGTGAGGTTGCTGCGAGTGAGGCTGACGCCACGGCACTGTAGCCTGGGCGACAGAGCGAGACTCTGTCTCAAAAAAAAAGAGAGAAAAAAGAAAAAAAAAACAGCCAGAGAACCATCTCCTCTTTATAACCTGAAGGTTTAGAGAAAGTCAAACAAAATACAAAATAAACACCCATATTTGTGCTTTGGTCCTCTCTTCTAGGTGTCCCCCACCCCACCGGCCCATCTGTGGTCCCAGCTATGGCAAAGAAATGCCGCCCCCCCCCCTGCACTGGCTCCCTGCCTGGGTGGCACCTCCCAGAATCCTTTCACTGTCTCCTGTGACAGACGGGGAGGGGCTCAGGCCAGGGGAGGGGCTCGCCTGAGGCCCTGGCCAGGTGGGTCAAGATTTGGCCCACACGTCTCTACTCAGGTAGGTCCAGGATGAGTCTAGGAGGCCAGAGATGCGTAGGGGGCCCGGGATCGCGGAGGCTGTGGCTCTCACCTGCAGGCGTACTCCACAGTGTAGATGGCTCCCTGGCTCTGTTCCTCCCACCGCTGCATGTCGGCCTGCGGGAGGTTGGGGGGACATTTAGCCGGGGAGGGGCTGCCGCCTGGAGGGCTCTCCTCCCAGCGCTCTTAGTGGGGCTCTCCTGAGTCCTCGTGGTGGCTGCCAAGACCGTTCCTCCTGAACTCCCTGCCCTCTAAGGTCTGGCCTTTCTGTGATCACCTGGCCAACATGCCCCAGGGCATTTGCACTGGCTGTTCCCTCCGCCCCGCATGCCCTTCCCTCAGAGGGTCACACGGCTACCTCCTCAACATGCAAGTTGTTTCTTTTTTATTTTTTAGAGACAGAGTCTCACTTTGTTGCCCAGGCTAGAGTGAGTGCCGTGGCGTCAGCCTAGCTCACAGCAACCTCAAACTCCTGGGCTCAAGCGATCCTCCTGCCTCAGCCTCCCCAGTAGCTGGGACTACAGGCATGCGCCACCATGCCCGGCTCATTTTTTGTATGTATATTTTTAGTTGGTCAATTAATTTCTTTCTATTTAGAGACGGGGTCTCGCTCTTGCTCAGGCTGGTCTCGAACTCCTGACCTCGAGCGATCCGCCCGCCTCGGCCTCCCAGAGTGCTGGGATCACAGGCGTGAGCCACCGCGCCCAACATGCAAGTCGTAACTACGGCAGATCTTACTGTCTCCTTCAAAATCCACCCCAGACCTGTCCACTACGGGCCCCTCCCTGGTGTCCCGGCCTTTGCTCCTGCCAGGCAGCAGCCCTCGCTCCACGCGGCGGGCACCAGCTCACCTTGTGTTGGGCCAGCTCGGGCAGGGAGCGGCGCACATGCTCCTGCAGCCGGTACAGGGCCACTGAGGGCTCGTTGGCCAGGACGTAGACGCTCTCGGTGAACTTGTCTGTGACTGGGTCCAGGGTGGACGGTCAGCAGAGCAGGGGTCAGGGGTGCGGGGACAAAGAGACAAAAGCATCAGCCTCCTGATTGCTCAACTGTGAGTTTAGCCGGAGCAGACGGGAGTGTCCCGCGTCCTTCCCAGCAGCTGGGTCACCCACAGCGCGTGATGGGCTAGAGGACATGGTCACAGCAGGGCTTCACTCCAGAGGACATTAACCCTTCCGGTGAACTTTTTTTTTGAGACAGAGTCTCACTCTGTTGCCCAGGCTACAGTGCCATGGCGTCAGCCTCGCTCACAGCAACTTCCAACTCCTGGGCTGAAGCCATCCTACTGCCTCAGCCTCCCAAGTAGCTGGGACGACAAGCCTGTGCCATCATGCCTGGCTAATTTTATATATATATATATATTTCTTTTTTTTTTTTTTTTACTTGGCCAATTAACTTCTATTTTTTTAGTAGAGATGGGGTCTGGCTCTTGCTCAGGCTGGTTTCAAAACACTCCTGCTGCCCACTTGGACCCCCTCGCATTCCTTTCACCCCAGTGACCGCACCTGAGACTCCTGTTCAGGGAGTGCCACAGGACCTCAAAGTGCCTGGAAGTCTACATCCCTGGATGGGATGACCGATGAGTGACATGAAAGCCCGTGCCCTTTTCTGCACACTGGAACCACCTGGAGGTGTAACTCCTCCCGGTGAGCTCCCCTGCGGAACCCGGCTGAGGCCAGATATGTCCCTCCCTTACTCAAAGCCCTCTCACCTGCCAGAGGCCGACGGGGCCCTGCGTGTTCTGGCTGCTGTTGACCTCCTGCCCTCCTTGCCTTCCACCCCTGGCTATTCCTTGGACACTCCCAGCACTGTCCAAAAGAACTTTCTGAGATGATGGAAATAGTCTATAAACTTTTTTTTTTTTAAGAGTTGGGGTGTCACTATGTCGTCCAGACTGGACTCAACTCCTGGGCTCAAGTGATCCTCCTGCCTCAGCCTCCCAAGTAGCTGGGACCGTGGGCACCCACATGGCTACCAAGCACTTGAATGAAATGTGGCAAGTGTGACTGAGGAACTCAATTTTTAATTTTACCCAATTTTAGTCAATTTCGCTTTAAATACCCAGCTCCGAATACTTTGTCACCTCGGGGCCTTGGCACCTGCTGTTCCTTCCCCTGAGACATCCTTCTCTCACAGGCTCCTCCATACTCATGTCTCAGCTCAAATGTCACCTCCTGGGCAAGACTTTCCTTGACTACCAAGCTTAATCAGATCTCTGCCTCATTCAGGACCTCAGCATTTTTTTCCCGATTCTCTGATACCTATTATAATTTATTAGGTTGCATACTTCCAGAAAAAAATCTTAAAGCTTGGATACACGAAGGCAGGGAATTCTGAGCTTTAGCTTCCTCATTTGAAGAAAGGAGGGCCATGCACAGTGGCTTATGCCTGTGATGGTAGCACTTTAGGAGCCTCAGGTGGGGAGGATCCTTTGAGGCCAGGAGTTCAAAACCAGCCTGGGACAATAGCAAGAGACCTCATCTCTTAAACAACAACAACAAAAAGACCTGGGCATAGTGGTGCACACCTGTAGTCCCAGCTACTTGGAAGGCTGAGGCAAGAGGATCAATTGAGCCCAGGAGATCGAGACTGCAGTGAGCTATGATGAGGCTGTTGCGATGTAGCCCAGGCAACAAAGCGAGACCTTGTCTCAAAAAAAAGAAAAAGAAAGAGAAAGAAAAAGAAAAAAGGGAATGGTAATAGCACCCACCTTGGGGTTTGCGACAGAGATGGATCTAATGCTATGGCCCAGGGTGACAGCTGAGGAGAGAGAACCAGGTGTGTCTGAGAGTCAAGAAAGGCTGTAGGCCCGGCGCGGTGGCTCACGCCTGTAATCCTAGCACTCTGGGAGGCCGACACGGGCGGATTGCTCAAAGTCAGGAGTTCGAAACCAGCCTGAGCAAGAGTGAGACCCCATCTCTACTATAAATAGAAAGAAATTAATTGGCCAACTAATACATATATAGAAAAAAATAGCCGGGCGTGGTGGCGCATGCCTGTAGTCCCAGCTACTTGGGAGGCTGAGGCAGGAGGATTGCTTGAGCCCAGGAGTTTGAGGTTGTTGTGAGCTAGGCTGACACCATGGCACTGTAGCCTGGGTAACAGAGTGAGACAAAAAAAAAAAAAAGGCTGTACAGGAGTCTGTCATCTTACCACTGTGTCTTAAGTGGGCAGAGCACAGCCTGCCACCCCAAAACTGTGTGATATCTTACTCTCGAAGCCTCCTTGTTTTGAAAATGAGCATAGTAATATAACAGTTTATACCTCACAGTGTGGTTATGAAGGAGGAGGAATTAATTGTACTTGTGCTTTCTAAATAATTACCTAGAAGTAACTTGTGTAATAAAATAACATAAAAAATATATAATTCAAAAATAGTTTGTGGCACTTAGTAATTCCTATTAATAGTTACTTGATTTATAAATACAATTGTCCCTAAACATCTGTGAGAGATTGGCTCCGGGACACGCCCCCTCCGCAATACCCAAATTTGAGGAAGCTCAAGTACCTTATAATAAAATAGCATAGCATTTGCATACTTTAAACCATCTGTAGATTTACTTATGCCTGTAATACCTAATACAAGGCCTACAGGCCACTTTACTCTCCAGGATTCAAAGTAGTACTCGGTGGAGGGAAAATTTAAGTTTTGCTTTTTGGAATTTTTTTCCATCCGCGCTGGGTTGAATCCACCCATGCGGAACCCGCGGATAGGGAGGGCTTATTATACTTGATAAGTCAATGTAAACACACAAATGCGTAAGTAACTAAAGAAATAAGGAGACACCACGAATAGCAATGACAACACCCCACGCATTCTTCCAAAGTGTTATAAAAATCAGGTTTTTGTTTTTTTAAGAGACAGGGAGGGTCTCGCTCTGTCGTCCTGGCTCACTGCAGCTTGGAACTCCTGGGATCAAGAGATCCTCCCCTTTCAGCCTCCCAAAGTGCTGGGATGACAGGTGAGCCACCGCGCCTGGCCAGATTGTTGAGTTCTTAAAACAATCCAGGGGGATATGACACTCCTCGTTTTACAGATGACGAAACCAGGCACGGAGACGTTGTAAAGGCTTCAAAACGAATCACTGCTTCCCACACGCTCCCTCCGCGCCTTTGCCACTCCCGCCCTTTGTCAAGGAGCCCCTTCGCGAGTTCCCGGTCCCCTCTGTCCCGCCCGGGGACCTGCACCACCTTTCTTTCCCTTGAGCTGCATCTCAGGTTCCTCCATAATGACCGCGGCCCACCGACCCAGAGGACCGGACCCGGAAGTCCGGGGGCTGGGACAGCTGCCTAAGCCTTCCGTGCGGAAACCGCACGCCGGACGGTTCCAGTTCCGCTGGCAGTTGGCCTGCCCACCCCGCTCCCCCGTCTCCCGGGACAGGAGAGGGGCTGTGAGGGGGAGAGGGAGAGGAAGGAGGCACACCTGGGGGCGGGTGAAGACGGGGCGGAGAGCCCCACGAGGCTCCAGGGGGGACACCGGAGGACTCCCTGGCTTCCCGAACCCCCCTTTCCCGGGGCAGACGAGTTGGGGGAACATTCTTCACACTGCCCACTTCGGGCCATATAAACGCCCCAATCCCTCCACACGCTTATAAACCTCAGGGACCGCAGAAGGGACATTATAATGGAACCGGGTGACAACAGCACTTCGCCCCTTTAAACTCTGGAGGCCCCGCCCACTTCTTTCCGCCCTCTACTTTAGAAAGCCCCGCCCATCCATCCGGGGCTGGAACCCATTGGCTTCCGCTGGAAAAAGATATGGGCGGAGCCGGAGGAGGGGTGAAGGGACACACGAGCAGGGAAAATCTCAGAGCCCTTTGAGGCCCCGCCCATTCCCTCCGGAGCTGAGGGGCAAAGAACGCGCAGGCGCAATCGCACTGCCACGGCTCCAGCGGAAGCCACGCCCCTCCCCTGAGTCTTAAAGGACCAGAAGCAGCTCTTGCTGCTCGGGCCCTTCCGCACTTTTGGGGGGCGGGGGTGCGCAGGCGCAGTGGGGGAGCTCTGGGGGCCCGGGTAGCGGTCGCGTATCAAGTTGCTCCCTGTCCCGGCAGAGAAAGCTAGGGCGCTGAGCGTCCAGTCTCCAGCCTGCCCCCCACCATATCCGTTGGAAGAGAAAAGTTTGTGAATTGGGACCCCAAGTTTTGGGGAAACTGGGCTTGCGGCGCGGGGGGGACGGAGGAGACTCCTGGGGAGGTGAGTGGACCCTGGATCGGTTTGGGAAGCGCAGGTGGGACTGGGACCAATCGCATCTTTGTTGAGCCCTCACTCATCTTGGGGACCCCCCCTCCCCAAGTAAGTACAGCGACTGTTTATTAAGCTCTGCCCTTACCAGGCCCCCCGCTAATCTATTGACCGACATGATTTCTTTTAGGCCGCATTTCCCCATTTTAGTGAGGAGGAGGCTGAGGCTCAGAGGTTGTCACACGCCTGAGTTCTCACAGCCTACGGGTAGGGGGTTTTCAAACCAGGACAGCTGACCCAAGAGCCGGGCTTTTAAGCATTGCATGTTGCGTTTGCCTTGGTGGTGGGGAAGCATAGGCCTAAAAAGCAGTTGGACTCCGGTTTTAATTTCCTGGCTCTGGCGATTCACCCGAGCCTCAGTTTACCCACCCTCATGGTGCAAGGCCAGGTATGCAGTCAGTGCCTACTTAATAAGAGCTGCTGATAATTCTTGTCATCTTTTCCCTTCTGGTGCGTCCAACAGCTTCCCGCATGGAGCCCACTCAACCTGCAGAGGACCTCATCCTGACCGAGCAGGCCCCTGCCTCGGAACTTGGGGACCCCGAAGACCCCGGGGATGAAGCCCCAGACGGCTCAGAGACTGTGGTCCTCAGTCTCTTCCCTTGCACCCCGGAGCCCGGGAATCCTGAACCAGATGCCAGTGTCTCCTCACTGCAGAGTAGGGCACCTCCTCTGGGATTGGCCCTCTGGGACCGGATGCTGGTGCAATGACAGAGGACACCTCTGTCTTTGTGATCCTCTACCTGTGTCTTCCCTCTCTGCCCAAAAAGGGGTTGTTTTTCACCACTTTGTACGTTTTTATGTTGTGGCATGGGACGCATAACCTAACATTCACCATTTAAACCAGAACTGCAGTACAATTCAGCGTCAGAAGTGCATCCACAGTGTTGCATAACCACCACCTCTATCTAGAATATTTTCTCCACCCTAGAAGGAAACTCCACACCCATCCCCCTCTCCCTCCAGTCCCTAGCAACTAATCTGCTTTCTGTCTCTATGGATTTATCTATGCTGGACATTTCTGGAGTCATGTACTATGTGGCCCTTTGTGACTGGCTTCTTAGCGTGATTTTCAAGGCTCATCCATGTGGTAGCGGGTGGCTGGGTGCTCCATGCCTCTTCAAGGCTGCATAATATTCTGCACTATGGCTGGACTGTGTTTTGTTTATCCATTCATCCTTTGCTAGACCTTGCCTTTTTGGCTATCGTGGGTGATACTTTTGTATCATTTCTGTACAAGTTTTTGTCTGCACACCTGTTTTCAATTCTTCAGGGACAGATATTATACCTAGGAGGGAAATCGCTGGGTCACATGGCAATCCTATATTTGAGTTATTGAGGAAGTGAGGATTTATTTTTGTTTTGTTTTGTTTTCTTTTTCTTTTTTTGAGATAGAGTCTCACTCTGTTGCCCAGGCTACAGTGATTGCCATGCCGTCAGCCTAGCTCACAGCAACCTCAAACTCCTGGGCTCCAGTGATCCTCCTGCCTCAGCCTCCCGAGTAGCTGGGGCTACAGGCATGCGCCACCATGCCTGGCTCATTTTTTCTATATATATTAGTTGGGCAATTTCTTTCTTTTTTATATCGGCATATTATGGGGGTACAGATTTTAAGGTTTCAATAAATGCCCTTTTCCCCCCTTCCCCCACTAATTTCTATTTATAGTAGAGATGGGGTCTCGCTCTTGCTCAGGCGATCCGCCAGCCTCGGCCTCTCAGAGTGCTAGGATGACAGGCGTGAGCCATGGCGCCCGGCCGAGGACTTATTTTTGACTGGAGTCTTAGAACATGTCTAATTCAGTCCTATCCCAGGGTCTTTGTTCCTGCCATTCCTTCTGTCTAGAATGTTCCTTCCATACCTCTTCCTACGGCTGATTTCTTTTGACTTGCCGAGATCTCAAAGCGTCACCTCCAGGAGGCCCTTTCCCGACCGGCTTGTCTAAAACGGACTCACCCTCTTTTTACCGTCTTCTACCTGAATTTTTAATGCTGTGGAGCCCACAGCATTAGGTTTTCTATTCCATCTCAGTATCTGAAGCAGCCGCTTGCCCTTGGGCTCCCTTGAGGGCAAAGCCTCCGTCTCGTTTGCCAGCTGCCAGGCGTGGAGGGGAAAGATGCACCCTGGGCATCTGAGAGAGAGCAGTGAGGAATGTCGGGGTCTCGGGCACTGTCTGCGGTAGCTCCGAGCCCCAAGGGTCAAAGCCCCAGAGACATGTACTGGGGAAACTGAGGCCTTTCCTCTCTCTCCCAGCAGGCAGCTCCCTGAAGCACTCTACAACCCTCACCAACCGGCAGCGGGGGAACGAGGTGTCGGCCCTGCCGGCCACCCTGGACTGTGAGTGGGGCCCCCGTGGCGAGATGGGTAGCAGGATGGGACGGGCCGAGAGGAACCATTCTGGGTAGAGGGTAAACTGAGGCACGGAGAGGCGATGGGGCGGGTGAGGACTCTGCTTCTCTCCGGCCTGCAGCCCTGTCCATCCACCAGCTCGCGGCCCAGGGGGAGCTGAGCCAGCTGAAAGAGCATCTGAGGAAAGGTGCGTGTCCTCACGCGTGTGCTGGCGTGCCTGTGCCTGCCCGGGCTGTGCGTGTGGGCACCCTGTGCCCGCTCACAGCGTGGGCGTGTCCACGTGTGGCCTCCCGCACGTGTGCTTCCCTGCATGTCTGACCCCGGCCTCCCACCGCACCCCACCCCTGCTCTGGCGGCGCTGGGGAGAGGGCAGGGTGCATCCCGGTGGTACCACCTCCCCCCTGCCAGGAGACAACCTCATCAACAAGCCAGACGAGCGCGGCTTCACCCCACTCATCTGGGCCTCTGCCTTTGGAGAGATCGAGACCGTCCGCTTCCTGCTAGAGTGGGTGAGTCCCGGCCCGGCCGGGGGCTTCCCGGGGGGCTCTCGGGCGGGCCGGGGTCTCAGCTGCGGCTGCTGGTGACTTGCCTGCTGTGGGGACCCCAGAATCCCCGGGGATGCCCCTACCCCTCCTGTCGCTGTCCCCCTCTCCCCTCCAGGGTGCCGACCCCCACATCCTGGCCAAGGAGCGGGAGAGCGCCCTGTCGCTGGCCAGCACGGGCGGCTACACGGACATCGTCGGGCTGCTGCTTGAGCGGGACGTGGACATCAACATCTACGACTGGGTGAGGCACCTCCCGCCCCGGGCACCTCCGTTCCTGCCCGCAAACACACGCCAAGGCGGGCGTGGTGCCTCATACCTGTAATCCCAGCGCTTTGGGAGGCTGAGGTGGGAGGATCTCAAGGCCAGCATGGGCAATATAGTGAGACCTCCCCATCTCTACATAACAATTAAAAAATGTAGCCAGGCGTGGTGGTTCGTGCCTGTAGTCCCAGCTACTCAGGAGGCGGAGGCAGGAGGATCATTTGAGCTGGAGTTCAAGGCCGCAGTGAGCTATGATCATGCCACTGCACTCTATTCTAGCCTGGCCAACACAGTGAGACCCTATGTCTAAAAAATTAAAAATAAAACAAACCCAAAACATTTTTATCAAATGCCAGCAGGGCACCAGTTCTGCTCTAGGTGCTGAGGACTCAGGCCAGACCCACTCCCAAAGCCTCACGAAGCTCCCAGTTTGGGGGACGCAGACATGGAAACAGGCACAGGCAGCTTCAAACACACAAAACTTCCTGACCAGGGAATGTCGGGAAGGGCTTCCTGGATGAAGGAGCATCTAAGCTCGATACTCAAAGTGCAAGATAGACTGGCCAGGTGATGAGCAGGAGAAGGCACCACATTAAATTGGAGGCCAGAGAGTGAGGTGCATTGTGAGAACCGGGGAAAGATAAACCGCTGAGTTTCCCTTGCCCCCACCCCCGACAGAATGGAGGGACGCCCCTGCTGTACGCTGTGCGTGGGAACCACGTGAAGTGCGTTGAGGCCTTGCTGGGTGAGTGGGGGTAGAGACTAGCCTCAGGGGGCGGGCGGGGGGCCCAGACCCCAGCTGGCCCTGCGGAAGTCCCGAGGGCAGGGAGGCGCGCTCTGCTTGTGCTCTTCCTGAGCTGGGTGGTAACTACCTGCCACTCTCACAGTGGGCAGCGTGGGGACAGGGAAATGGCAGGGCAGCACAGAGGTCTGGCCAAGGGGTTGAACACCTCCACCCCTCCATGCGCCTCGGGGACCCCTGGACCCACAGTCTGCAGAGGAGACTGAGCCTTGGAGGGGCGCGGGGCTCTTGTCCAAGGCCACACGGGAAGGGCAGGCCCCGGCTGCATCGTGAGGGTGAGATCACGGGGTCTCCCAAGTCCCAGGTCCCATTCTGGGCTCGCTTGCCCCCTTCCCCCCTTCTGCTTTGCAGCCCGAGGCGCGACCTCACCCCACCGAGGCCGACTCAGGCTACACCCCGATGGACCTCGCCGTGGCCTTGGGATACCGGAAAGGTTGGCCTGAGCCCACGGAGCAGCAGTGGGGTGCCATAAGCAGGGGACCACCCGGGGGTACACGGGACACGCCCCTCAGTGGGCAGACGCTGGCAGCAGGAGTGTTCGTGTTAGCTGGCGTTAAGCGCCACCGGTGTACCTTGCCTGGGCGTGTCCCATTCCCTGGTTTTCGGGCTCCCCACGGCTGGGGTAGGGAGGCCAGTGTGTGTCAGTGACTAGGGCGTGAGAGGCCCAAAGGAGGCCCCAGCCCAGCCTCAGGATCAAGGAGGGCTGGGGAACCAGCGGGGCATCCAGGTGGGAGGACAGCACCTGCAGAGGCCTCACAGGGTGAGGGCCCCGAGAGGGAGGCAGCTGGGCCACACCGGCCAACCCTCTCCATGGCGGGAGGTGGCTTTGAGCAGGTGGTTCGACCCCCCTGCTTCTTCCTTCATAGTGGGACCTCAGTTTTCCCATCTATAAATGGGGAGCTCCTAACAGAAGTGACTCCCTGGGGTCATGGAGGGATTAAGGGCTCAGGGAATATCCCTTCCATTTCTTTGGAGTTTTATTCAATTTGGGACCAGAAATCATTCCTTGCCACCCCCTCTCTCATCTTTTCATAAAAGTCACAGTTCACCAATATTGTTTGGTAGGGAGTATTTTTATAACCCTGAAAAGCCCCACAAAAATGCATTTTTAAAAACTCATGAGGCCGGGGCGGTGGCTCACGCCTGTAATCCTAGCACTCTGGGAGGCGAGGCAGGAGGATCGCTCAAAGGTCAGGAGTTCAAGACCAGCCTGAGCAAGAGCGAGACCCTGTCTCTACTAAAAATAGAAAGAAGTTAATTGGCTAACTAAAAATATATATGAAAAGATTAGCCAGGCATGGTGGCGCATGCCTGTAGTCCAATCTACATCGGGAGGCTGAGGCAGGAGGATTGCCTGAGCCCAAGAATTTGAGGTTGCTGTGAGCTAGGCTGATGCCACAGCACTCTAGCTTGGGCAACAGAGTGAGTTCTGGGTCCTCCATCCAGGTGCCCCAAGGTGCGCCCAGAGGGGAGAGAGTGCGGCAGGCCCGTGCCTCTGCAGAACGCGAGTTCAAGCTCACGGCCACCCTTTTCCCTTGCCCCACCCTCTAGTGCAACAGGTGATCGAGAACCACATCCTCAAACTCTTCCAGAGCAACCTGGTGCCCGCGGACCCCGAGTGAAGGCCGCCTGCTGGGAACTCAGACACTCAGGGAACAAAACCGTGGACTCAGAGCTGGGGGCACCCAGAACCGGCTTCAGAGGCAGCTCTCGGACAGGCGGTGGGAGGGGACCTTCCCGACAGGAACCAATAAACCTTCTGTGCAGCGGAGCTCGGAGGAGGACTTTGCTGTGTTTCCCCGAGGGCTTCCCGGAGATCTCACACCTCCTTCTCCCCCAGCACCCGCAGGTGGTAGATGACCAGGCGGCCAAAAAAGTCAGTGGCGTCCTCAAACGTCACTTTCAGCCGGTCCGCCTCAGCAGCCGGCACGGGGAAGGTGTGAGCACGGACAGTCAAGGGAAAACGGGCGGCTTTTTGTTTCTCACCCGCCAACCTCGACCCTTCCCAGACCCAGACCAGGCAAGATGCCACCAATGTGCTGGGTGACTTGTGCAAGCTGTGGGCCCCTCTGAGCCTCTCACACAAAACAGGTGGTCACCGGCCTCGTTTTTTGTTTTTTTTTTTTTTTACAGATGGAGGCCTAGAGGTCACTCGTTAAAGGTCACACACACCAGAGTTCCCACTCAGCTCTGGACGAGCCCGGAGCTTTCAGAAGCCCGGGCTACCCTACCCGCAAAGGCCAGGGCAGGATATCTGAAGCGAGTTGTTGTCCTCGGGGTAGAAATCCACAATCTTGCTCAGAGCTCCGCTCCCCTGTGAGCCTGCAGCAGGGAAAGAGTCGGACAGTGAGCGGGCGTGCAGGGTGCCCCCCCAGAACCCCCACCTCCTCCCAGGGCCTGCCGGTACCTTCTAGGCAGCCCCGGCGGCTGGAGAAGCCCCCCTGGAACTGGATTTGAAGCTGGGAGACACGGATGCGCTGGGGGAACTCCAGTATCACCCACTGAGAGGGGCCCTGGAAGCAGACAGGGAAACTGAGGCCCACAGTCCAGGCTCAGAGCGCCTGCCACTTCTCTCTCTCTCTCATTCACTCAGCACATGAGGGGCAAAGGGGGGGCATTCGGCACACGTTCCTCCCCTGGCCCCCCACCCTCCGAAGTCCTCGAGGCACCCTGGCCTCCTGAATGTGATTCACTCCACGGACGTAGGGGCGGGGAGGGCCCTTACCTGATCCGAGTTCCAGCACGTCTCCTCGTCCTGATCGAACAGGTGCTTCTTTCCAAACTGCCGGGTGTTGCGGTTCAGCACCGAACTCACCCTAGGGGGCACCCCGGGGCCCAGGCGAGAAGGAGGGGTGCTGAGCCCGGCCTCATTAGGGCCCTGCCCGCGCCGGGCCCCCGAACCCCGGGACGGACTCCTCACCTGCTCACGGTGCCCGGGCAAACCAGAGAGTGGGTCATCGCGGCTGCACAGAGCTCTCAGGCGGCGCTGGGCTCGGGTTCGAGTCCCGACAGCCGCCGGGCCTGCACGTGCTCACCGGGCTCGCGGCTCACTGGGCTCTCGGCACTCTGGGCTCGCACGAGCCCCCTCGGCGCCCAGGACGCAAGTTCCCCGCCGGCTTGGGGGCGGCGGCTCCCTGCCCGAGCCTCCGCTTCTCAGCCAACGACACACAGCTCTGGGAACCGGAACCCGGAACCGCGTGGGCGCGGCGCATGCGCGGTGCACTCAGGCCCCGCCCCGCAGCCTGCTCCCGGGGCGGGGCTTGGCTTTTTTACCCCGCCCCTTCACGCCCGCTTCTTAAAGGGCCCGGGTTCAGTGATTGAGTTTTCTTTTTTTTTTTTTGAGACAGAGTCTTGCTTTGTTGCCCAGGCTAGAGTGAGTGCCGTGGCGTCAGCCTCGCTCACAGCAACCTCAATCTCCTGGGCTCAAGCGATCCTCCTGCCTCAGCCTCCCGAGTAGCTGGGACTACAGGCATGCGCCACCATGCCCGGCTCATTTTTTCTATATGTATTAGTTGGCCAATTAATTTCTTTCTATTTATAGTAGCAACGGGGTCTCGCTCTTGCTCAGGCTGGTTTCGAACTCCTGACCTTGAGCAATCCTCCCGTCTCGGCCTCCCAGAGAGCTAGGATTACAGGCGTGAGCCACCGCCCCCGGCCTCGAATCCATTTCCTAGCTGCTAATGCAACCTAGGACCCTTGAGCCTCCTTGCCTCCCAGAGCCCAAAGCAAAAGACAGACGTGGTAAAAGGCCGTGATGTTGGGAATATCAATCTCCTTTGTAATTTGCTGGGGCGCAGAAGGCCCGTGCTCCAAATCTGTCTCTCCCAGAAAATGCTGCCTAGGACCTCAAGGAAGGCTTCCTGGAGGAGGGGGGCATGCAGGTGGGTTTTGAAGCATGAACAGGAGTTTGCCAAGCCAGATCGCACAAAACCTCAGATACCAGGCTAAAAACTTGGTTCAGTGCTCCGGCTAGACAGCTCCTGCCGCCCTCTAGTGTCACACCCTTGTGCTTGGCCTGGTGCTGGGCGATGCAGAAGATGGCGAGAGACCTCAGCTCCAGCCCCGTCCCTGAGTGAGGAGCCCCCAGTCTGGGCAAGACAGAGACAGTCACACATTCCACACCCCACGGGGTGAGGGCTGAACCGCAGGAAGAGATACAGCCGGAGGAGCAGGCGTTCTACCTGGACAAGGTTGTCCTGGGAGAGGAGATTTTAGACCTGCACCTCTATTGCGTTGGCAGAAATTCACCAGGGCAAGAAAATCTGCAGGCAGGGAGAACAGCAAAAGCAGAGGTCTAGTTGGGTGAAAGACCATGAATTCGAATGAAATATGTGGAGCCATATCCTGCTTGGCCAGGCGGTGGGGGAAGGTGTTTGAGAAAGGGCGGGACACCCTCTGATCTGCATGAATGGAGGGCTCCAGGCAGAGCAGCCACTGGCAGGAGGCTGCCGTTCCTGGCTTCGGCTGAATGATCTGGCATCGAGCCCCTTTCTTCAAGGGCTGGGGGAACGGTCCTCCTGGCATCCTACTAGCGTCTGCCCGAACCCCCTCCGGGAGGGGGCCTGGCGGGGAAACTGGGTCACCCACAGAAAGGCTGCCGCATGAGCCCCTGCCTGCCAGGACGTTGTGCATTCAGACGCAGTCCTGGTGCCATCCAGCTCTGTGCTGGTCTCAGGGATGGGACTGGAGGTGACAGGGAACACCCCACCCTCACCCTCACCCCCAGAGAAAGTTAGGAAGAGCATGGACCCTGGGGAGCCCAGATCTGGTTCGAATCCGGGCTGGACCGCTCACGGGTTGTGTGGACTTAGACAAACATCTTGACCTCTCTCTGAGCCTCACTGTCCTCACCTGCGAAGTGTGTGTGGGGGGGTTCTATTTACGGGGCTGCTGGAGGATTCAGTGGGCTCTTTGGGTTGACACGTAGCAACAGTGGCTGGCATTTGTCGAGAGCCCACCGGGTGTCTGACTTGAAGCCACATTTTCTTCTCCACCCATTGGCTCGTTAAACCTGACCTGGCTGGTCCCTGTCACCCCTACTTTGTAGCCGAGGACCCAGCGGCTTGGCAAAGGGCCCCCAGTGAGGATGTGCATGGTCCCAGGGCTCGCCACCCCACTCCTGGCCTTGGCGTGGGGCCGCCTTGCCCACTGGGACTCGGCCAGCTCCATACTGTCTTCCCGCCTCCTCACCCCACTGGCGCCGGCATGAAAGGGCCTCCTGTCTCTCCGGGGAATTAGCGGCTCCGGGCTCCCAGCGGGGTGGCCAGAAGTGGTCCATTCATTCTCCCGAGTGAGCAGAGACTAGGAACTCCCAACCCCACCCCAGGGGATGGGGCAGGGAGAGCTCTAGAAGCTCTGAAAAGCAGCTCCTCTGGTTTGCTGGGGGAAACTGAGGCAGGGAACAGCAAAGTCATTTAGCCATGGTCACCTAGGGGGACTGGGATGCAAACCCTAGTCTGACTCTAGAGTTTTCCCCGAACCCACACCGAGTTCTGCATTTTTCAGGGGAGAAATTGGAGACTCAGGGAGGGCCAGGGACTTGCTGAAGTCCCCGGCAAGTTTGGGGGGTGGGGACTCTCTCTGCATTGGCCGTCTCTGGGGAAGCCGCCCCACCCGTGCAGAAAACATGCTTCTGTCGTCTGGGAGCAGGACAGGGAAAGGCTTTGAGCCTGGGGAACGGGTGTAAGGGTTTCCCCGACATCTCAGCCTGAGGCGACTGCACGGGAGGGAGGGTGTTGCAGGATCCCCCAAGCCTGGAACCCCCAATTGGGCAGGTCTGAGTCTGATTTCTCTGCCAGGGTGCACCTGGGTCCAGCAGGCCCAGCTCAGAGTAGGGTGCCTTTGGCCATGCCACGAGCATGACTTGTGCGTGGCCTGGCCAGGTGTGATGGGGCGTGTGGTCAGGTGTGGTCTTGTGTGGCCAGGTGTGGTTTTGTGTGGCCAGGTGTGATTGTACTCGTGGCTAGGTGTGGTTTTGTGTGGCCAGGTGTGGTGGTATTCGTGGTCAGGTGTGGTTTTGTGTGGCCAGGTGTGGTGGTACGTGTGGTCAGGTGTGGTTTTGTATGGCCAGGTGTGGTGGTGCATGTGGTCAGATGTGATCTTGTGTGGCCAGGTGTGATGGCACGTGTGGTCAGATGTGGTCTTGTGTGGCCAGGTGTGATGGCCGGGGTCTTCCCTGGAAGATACACCTATACTCTTGCCCAAAGCAAAAATGTTCCTGTGCCAACGACAGCCCCAGGTCTTTAGCCTGTGCTCCGTCCGTGCTGATTGGACAAAGGTGAGTGAATAAATGATGTCATCTGGCTGGAGCTGCTGGACACGTCTTGCAGAGTGTGACACACCTGGGCTCCCACCCTGCTGCGGTCTGTCACCAGCCGTGTGGCCAGGCAATCTTGCCATCTTCTCTGAGCCTGTTTCCTATAAACAGTCATGGCAG